CAGAATCCTTCGCACAATGTCTTCGACATAAACTTCTTTCGTTAAGAGAAATCGACGAAACAGGGGATTCCCATCGAAACGAATCTAGAAAAAGACTGAACAATGTCGACTCTCAAGTCGATGTAGAAAATTATACGAATCCGACAACATTACTCTCCCCTTCTTCTTATTCAAATAATAATAATAATAATAATAATACAAGTTCGGTGGTACAAAACAAAGGAAACGATATTAACAAAAAAAAAAAAGATGAAGAATCACTTAAAGAAAAAAAAAAATCATCATCATCATCGTCGTCGTCAGCATCCCTTCAAATGAATGAAATAAAAGATTTGAATGATGATGATGATGATGATGATGATTTAGACGAAGATGAATTTTATTCACAATCCGAATCAGAAACGAGCGATACAACAACCGAACAAAAAATAAATATGGATTCATTAAAACAAGAAAGAAAAATATTAACGGGAAAAATTCATTCGAACGGTAGCGAAGATAGTAATTTGGATTCATGGTGTTCTTGTTTAGATAATTTAACGGATTCGGAAAAAACGGATTCCGAAGTAGAAGATTCAAATTTAATAAATAATAAACATTACAAACCTCCTAAATGTTTGGTTAATCGTAATGTTAACGAACAACAACAACAACAACAAGATACCTATAAAAATTCACAATTATTATTAATTAATAAAGAAATTGATAATGAAAGTAATAATTTTCATTTGGATAAATATTTTCATAAAGTTCTTCTCATCGATAATAATAATATTGAAGAAAACGAAGAAAAAATATCTGATAAAATTATACAAAATGATTATGTTAAAGTTCAACATTCAGTTGATGATGATGGTGACGACAACAACAACAACAACGGTTGTACTGAAAATGAAGAAAAAAATAATTTACCCTCTTCTCCTGATGATGGTACGACGGTAAAAGAATTAGATACACGATTAACCACTGCGGAAAATTCACAAGCAGACGATAAAAATTTAAAAACAATTAAAACAAACTTATTAAATAATAAAAATGAATTGATCAAGTGCGACGTTGATGATAAGACTGTTAAAGATGAAGATAATGAAAGATCCATAGTAAATACTTCGATAGTTGATAAACAAGAAGAAGAAGAAGGAAATAATAATAATAATTTAGATATGTATCCATCATTAAATATAATAACGTGCAATAATAATTTAAAATCCGACGAAGACGTCGATGAAGATCCTACTCACCATCATCATCATCATTCGAACAATTTAAAATATTTAAAAAGATCATCGTCGTTGAAAACTAAAAAAACACCACCAGGTACACCAGGATGTAAAAAAATCGTACGTTTTGCCGATGCACTAGGATTAGATCTAGCAGACGTACGAACGTTCTTAGACGAAATCCCTAAAATCCCAATTTCCGCATACGAAGATTTAAAATTTGATTTTCAAACACCATCCGAAGAACCCACACACCAATGTCCGTTAATGCTCGTACCCTTATTTCAACAACCGGGATTAAAAATGGATTTTATGGAAAAGATAAACAATCAGAAAATATGTTTGGAAACTATGAGTGTGACGGATCCGAGTGTTTTGGCCATAACCGGATATGCGAGAGTTCGAAACATCGGATACCATAAATCCGTTTATGTTAGATATTCTCTTAACAATTGGAAAACGTTTTCGGATTTACAAGCAACTTACGTTCCTAATTCATGCGATGGTTATTCGGATAAATTTTTATTCGTTTTATATGGGCACACGTTGAAATCGGGTGAAAAACTTGAATTTGCATTACGTTTAGAATGTTGCGGTGAACAATATTGGGATAGTAATGGCGGAATTAATTATTCTTTTAATTGTTTACCACAGTCTTCGGCAAATAGTTTTTTTCCATTTAGTCCACCCGAATACGCAATACAAAATCCCGAAACGAATCCTTCTTCCCTTTATTTTTATTAAATTTTTTTTAAAAAAAAAACAATCGTTTCGCCATATTTTTTTTTAATTTGAGTTTTCATTATCTGTGATAGAAAAAAAATGTTTAAATACCTGAAAAATAAAAAAAATTTATATTATTATTACTACTATTATTATTATTATTTCTGTTATCCTGTAAAAAAAAAAAAAGTTTTAATTGATTTTTAAGTTTTATTTATACTCACCTGATTGCGTCGCTTTTTTTTTTGACCCGCATATTAAGAAAAACGATTAATTACAATCGACTTGTTGCCTCTTTTTTTTTAAATATTTCGTTTCAATTTAACAAACTTGAAACTATCAATTATAATAATTATACTTACCCCTATGTAACACATCCCCGAGAAGAATTCCCTAAGGGTTTATTCATTCATCCTCCAGGAAATTTAATTTCAAACTTTTCTTTTGCATTACTTCATCAACCCGGATTATCATCAGTAAAAGATTCCAAAAAAAAAATTATTATTTTTTTTTTGAATATAATTCCCTGCCGTGCTTTAAAAAAAAAAAGTAAAAATTAATTTTTCCTGGAAAGTAATTTTACAAACAAACAAACAAAAACAAACAACAGCAACAAGAACAGCAGCAACGATTTAAATGTAATTAACGTAAACCTATTCTAATAAGTTTTTATTAATTAAATAAAAAATTGTCATCGAATTAAAAAATGGCGTTAATATATTTACATAAAAATATATTATTATTATCGAGTACAAAATTATTAAAAACAATTAATAATAATAAATAATATAAGTGTGTGTGTGTGTGTGCGAGTGCGAGTGGGTGGGTGCGTCCACGTAAAATTTTTTTTTTTTACAATAACAATTTTAAATATAATTATTTATTTTAAAATAAATTTAAAAAATATACAAAAAAAACCCTAATAAATAAATAAGTAACATCTCTTTCTGCAAGACAAAATTAAATAATAATAATAATGATTTAAAAAATAATAAAATATTGTATATATATATATAATAGTTTCAATTACAATTCTCTTCGTCCATGTCACTTTCGTCCTCATCCTCATCATCATCATCATCATCATCATCATCATCATCGTGACAATCTTTTGGACAAACGTGTAAAAATTCGGATACGGAACTAGCAGACGAATAATTTGAATGTTTTGGTTTTTCCTGATCTTTACACGGACATTTTTTTTTACCCTTAATTTTAATACAATTAATTTCGGGGATTTGTTCCATTAGGGGTTCGTTTTCCCATGCTTTCGGATTACATTGAAGTTGGGATCTCATTAATTGTATCCTTCTCACGGATACCGTAGGGGATGATAACATAAATTTACTACCTGGTTTACACGATTCCCAAACGTGTTTTGCCACAGACATTTTATCTATTTTGCTATTTGCTTCTGCATCCCTGTTTTCAATTAAGCTTATATCCGTAGTATTGTATGTTGTTTGTGAATCCCCTTTGTAATTTTCGTTATGCACGTGATTGGAATGATCCGCGTGATTTCCATGTTCCGAATGATGTCCGTGATCCGCGTGATTGTGTTGTCCGTGATCTTCGTGATTATGCCCGTGATCTGCGTGATTCGCATGATCGTGGTGACTGTGATGATTCATTATATGAATTATTTTTATCTTGTCTCATACCAAAAAATTATATATATATATTTGTGTTTTTTTTTCTTATTTTTAAATTTTAACAAAACAACTGAGAAGCCATGTTTATTTATTATTTTATTTTCTTTCGGGGTTTTAGATAAACACGGCATTTTTTTTTTTTACCGTGAAAATTATTTTTAATCTGTGGTCAATTTTAAATGAAAATAACTTAATTATAGTTTTTATATCTTTTACGATAAAAAAGTAAAAGTAGATGAGGATTGATAATTATAAAAAATATATCATGAGATGAGTTTAAATTTTCATCTGAAATAAATTTAATAATTTATAATAAAAAATTTAAGAAAGGGGAGGTTTTATTAATAATAATAAAATTTTTATAACGTTTCCAACATGAAAAAAAAACATTTCGCTCGTAAATTAACTCTTCTAATTTTTTTTTTTTTTTCTTATTCGGATTGGATTTTTTTCATTTCTTTTTTTACACACACACACACAGAATCAATTGACATTAAAAATTTTTAATTTGGGAAAATTACAATTATTTTGACATTGAATTGCATTCCACCACCAAATTGCATTGGTTTGTGCAAGGCTTAAAAGGCTTAAAGGCCGCTCTTTTTTTTAATACAAAATTTTTAAAACTCTGTGGTTAAGTAACACCCATTTAAATTTCAATAATTAAAATAATGTATTTTTCATAAACGTTAGATCCAAAAAAAATATACAAAAAATTTTTTATTATAAATAAATAAATAAAATAAAAATTTTACGCCCTAAATATTGTTATATATAGCATTTTCTCAAGCAGGTGTGTATGTAAAATTGCATAGTTAAGATTTTGAGGGTTTCCCGCCAAAATCGGCATGTGTAATTATCATATAAAAAATTTGTTATAAAAAATACATTATTAAAAAAAAAAAACAATTTTAAAATTTAAATATTTATTTTTAATATAATATACATAAAATGGACAAATTACAAAAACCTCAGGGTACCTCAAAGCAAACATTGGTATCTCTGTTAGTTAATAATAATAATAATAATAATAATTATAATAATTTTTTTTTTTTTTTTAATATTTTTTTTTATACAAAATCCATAAATAATTAGTTGTACAAAAATGTCCTTTTTTTTTTCTTTTTTCAATAACTTTTCTCGCATTATTTTAACTAAATATCTAAATTGTTCTATCGTAATAAAATATTAAATTATTTTTTTCGCGTAAAATTTTCGTGGTGGCTCTAAAAGTAAAAAAAAAAAATTGAAATGTAATTTTTTTTTTTTTTTACCCTCGGAGCCGATTCCCCGTATTTATATTTAAATATAATAAAATAATCATAATCGTTTTTTTTTTTTTGTTTTCATTCTTCAAATTAATCATCTTCCAGTTAAAATAAAATATATATATATATATATATATATATATATATATATATATATATATATAAATCTATCATCGCGGTGTATTCGGTAATTTCAATGCCAATAATTGTCTGTGCAATCGTTGTCGACAAAATTGATAAAATTCTATTTCCCTTGTAAAATTCCTTCGAACAATTTCTTTAACTTCTTCGCTAACTGGAGGTTTAAATAAATTTCTATTTATCCTTGCAAAACGATCAACTTCATCTTAAAAAAAAAAAATCAAATTTAATTTATTGAAAAGAAAACAATTGGTGGGGGGGGGAAAGAGAATAATTACCTTTGAAAACTTGTGCAGCACCCTTAAAAAATCTCGGTATGTAATTTTCTAAAACGGTAAACGTTGAATTGAGATCTTCGAGTACTCCAACCACAGCATAATGTTGTTCGACAGCTCTTTTAGCTCTTTGTAATGCTCCTTGAGTATTAAATGGTCTGAAAAAATAATCAATTTAACACATCATTGATTTTACTTATTAAAAAACAACCTCTTTTATTTATCTTTTAAAATAAAAAAAAGCCATAATTAATAATTTATAAAATTTTCCTTGATGATACTTACGTGCAAGCATCGCTATGTCCGCAAAAGAATAATGATTGTCTTCTGTGATCACCGATACCCTCGTGCGTTTCTCCTTCGACATATTTACACTCTCTATCTCCTCTCAAAACGCAAGTTTCAAAATCCTATTTTGAAAAAAAAAATTTAATTAATTAAAGTAAAATAATACATAAAATTCGTGAGTGAATACATACAACAACTAACTGTTACTTTACCTTTTTAAGCCAATGAGGATCCGGTAGTGGAATATCTGGAAATGCTTGCTTTCTTTCGACGTAGTACCATGGTGCTCTAACATAATAATACCAGGAAATAACTCTTTCAACGGGATCTCTAACTAAATTCACGTAAATTGGTTCCGGTAATCGAAATCTGTTAATTAAAATAAAAAAGGAAAAGATGTAAACAACAAAAAAAAATTATACAAGGAAAAAAAACCGACGTTAGGTCAAAATTATTTCGAAAAGTATTAAAAATGGTTGTTGTTGTTTTGAGATATTGTAAAATTTTTTTTGACTTACTGTGTGAAATTAATAAAACAAACATGTTTGACATAAACGCTAGGAGGTTCGTAAGCAGCAATCATTGAGGCCAAATCCATTTGATCACCAGGTGCCAACCTGATTGTTTCAACTCTTTGTATATGATCTCTATGGAATGCAAAATTATTTTTCATCGATAATCTTCTTAAAAGTTCCATAAAAGTTTGACTACCGACTTTTGGCACTCTATTAAAAAAAACGACATCGATACCGGCTTTTCTTGTATTATTCAAAGCTTTCGAATCCAATGCACCCATCTATTAAAAAAAAAAAAAGAAATTTTTTTAAAAGAGAAAGAGAAAAAAAAATTCAAGTTCTAGGTGAAAAAAAAAAAAAAAAATTACATTGGGTTCTAAGGTCAACATTTTAACCGGTTGCTGACCTCGTGATTAGATAGATGTTTGAAAAAATTTTCTTTCTTTTTCTTTTTTTTCTTTTCCATTCGTGCAATTCATATTTGAACCAGTTAATTGATGAAAAAGTGTTACATCAATCATCGAAAAGGTTTTAATAAAAAATTTATTTTTTTTTAAAATAAATAATCACGATAATACCTTTTAAAATTTTTTACTCATTGACAATATTATTATTATTATTATTATTATTATTTGTTTTCAATTTTCACTCTTAATGGCGAAAGTTAAGAAAAAAAGTCACAAATGAATTAACAAAAAGCTTCTTAAACAAAAAAAAAAAAAAAAGTTTCCAGTGATTAATTACTTTTCTTTTTTCTTGAAATTTCCGTTTCGAAAAAAAAAAGACATAATAATGATAAATTTATTATTGAAAAGAAATTTCGATTCGATATAAGTTTCAGGAGGTAGGTTTTAAAAACGAGTTTAAAAAAAAAAAACAAAAAAAATTCGCATCCGTTTTATTTATTTATGAGATATTAAATCCGCAACAAGAACGAATCTTCGTAATGAAAAAAAAAATAATAATAATAATAATAACCGTAATAAAAATCAGGTACGAAAAAGAAAATAAAAAATTATTATTATTATTATTATTTTCTACTCAACTTTCTCCGGGTTTTTTAATACTTAACCTAGACCTCGAATGAATTTTGTGGTTTTTTTTTTTATTTTTTTCCAATATTCAGGGTTAAAAGTCATCGAAAAAAAAACTTTTCGTTCGAACTTGTTTTCTTTATTTTAATTCTCACTACTTAATAATAATAATAATAATAATAATAATAATAATAATAATAATAATAATAATAATTTAATTAAATTAAACGCGCGGAATTTTCCTATCGAGTTAATAAAAAAAAAATGGCGGAGTAAACAAATTAATTAAATTAATAAAATTATTTATTTGATTTTTACGTGCGGTTTTAGCACAAACGAATTATTATTATTAATTATTTTTATTACGTAATAAAAATAAGTAATAATAAAATATATATTATTATTATTATTATTAAAGGTAAGAGAAGAAGAGGGAGGGAAAAAAAAATTATTTAAATAAACTTCTTTCTTTTTAGTATAGAAACAATCTCGTCACTTTCCATTTTTACCTAATTAGTATATATATGTTTAGAAAAAAAAACTAATTTAAGCAGACGATAATTAAACGTTCGAAATCATTTCATAAATAAATTTTCATTTTTTTTTTTTTTTTTAACATAAATGGGTAAAAAAAAAATTTTTTTTTTTATAGAAATGCCCTCAAAAAAAAAAAAAAAAAAAACGTTTAACTAGAGTTAATAAACTTTCTAGTTATATTTTTTATGGACGCCATTAAAAAAAAAAAAAAAAAAAATTATATTAACGGTAGAGAAAAGTAAAAAAAAAAGAAAAAAAAAAAATTCAATTTTTGTAATATTTGTTTGTTTATTATACGTTAATTTTAACTTTCGTTTGTTTTCGTTTGTTAATTAAATATTGACGTTTTTAAAAAATGAAAATAATAATTTAAAATCATCCATTAATAATTTACCCGCCATTTTTTTTTCTCTCTTTCTCTTTTTTCCCTTTCATTTTTTCCCAAAGGTGTGTAAAAGAAAAAAAAAAGTCAATTATTAAATAAAACGAAAAGTTTTTAAATTATGTACACGGTCGTTGAAAAAAAAAAAAAAAAAAAAGAAAAAACCGAAAATATAAAAAAAAAAAAATTATTAAAATGTCGTCTCATTCTTTTATTTTATTTGTTTACTAAAAAAATTTTATTTACTAAAAAACCGTTTTTTTTTTAAATCGTAAATAATAAAGCAGACGAAGTAATTAATTTACGCGCCGTTTGTCGTTGTGCGACGTTTTTTTTTATTACTCTATGATTATTCGAAATTCTTTTTACCCGCCAGAAATTAAATTATTGTTATTATTTAAAATAAATATATTTGTTGTTTGTTTGTTTGTTTGCGGCTGTGAATCATGTACATACGGGATGTGAAATAATAAAATAATAAATAAAATAATAAATAAAACGTGGAAATTACTACGTCTTACGACTTTTTTAACTTAAAAATTTTTACGTCACGATTATTAATATTATTATTACTATTATTATTATTATTTAATATAATTATCTTAATAAAAATTATTATTATAAAATTTAACTTTTTTTGGAGAAAAAAAAACCGTTTTTCACAATGTCCAAAAAAAAAAATTAATTTGTTTAATGTAATTTAACGCGTGTGTTAAATCATTTTATTACGTAAATAATATTTAATAATAATAATAATAATAACTAAATTTATAAAATTCTTCCAAAAAATATCACGACGAATAAATTTATTTATTTATTTATTTATTTTCATCAAAATTATTTAAGTTTAATTAAATAAATAAAAAGTTTTTTTTTTAACGACGACGACGACGGCGGCCATTTTATTTATTATTTACGTATTGTAAACCAACCAAACCAAAAAAAATATTATTATTATTATTATTATTATTATTATTATTATTTAAAAAATGTTCCTCTTACGGAATCCTTTTTAAATTAAATTCAAAATTTGTTTTTTTTTTTTTTTTTTTTTTTTTTTTTTTTAAACAAAACGTTCGAAAATTCGAATCCATTTATTTATTTATTTAAAAAATTTTTTTTTTTTTTTATTATTTAAACGGTATCAAATTTTATTTTTATTTTACTTTATTACGAAATGTTTAAACAAATTTACTTTCCCCCCTTCTCCCCAATTTACAAAAAAAAAAATTTCATTCTCCATCTTTTTTCATTTCATTAAAAAAAAAAAAAAATAAAAAAATAAATAAGTTTAATAACGTTTGTTATAATAAAAAAAAACGATGGATTTATTAATAAATTTATTTAATTTTATAAACAAAAAAAATTCAAATTATTTATTTATTTATTATTATTTTTTCTTTTCCTCTTACGAATATTATTATTACCGTAATAAAAATTCTTTTATCATCATCATCATCATCATTATTAATAATCGTAAAGTTTTTTTATTTTTTTCGATTATTATTTATTTATTTATTTAAAAAAATCATCGTTAAAGGATTTTGAACTTCCGTTCCGATTTTGCAATAAATAAATTTTTTTTTTTTTCTTCTCAAATTGCATAATTCAAATCGAACAAAAAAAACGACAATGATAGTAATAATAATAATAATAATAATAATATTTGGAATTATCGAAATGTCAATGACACCGTCATCGATAAATACAATCAATCAATTGATCGATCAATTTACATTAATTATATTGAATTTATAAATAAATAAAAAGGTTTGCTACCATTGTTTATATATATATATATTACCAAATGATTTATTGAGTCAAGGTAAAATAATTATCATTATTATTATCGATTTAACTACAATTGATTACAAAAATTTTTTATAAAATATTGTAAATTAGGAAACAAATACGATTATCACTATTATTATTATTAATAATAATAATAACAACAACAACATTCAACGAGGTTTTTTTTTATTTATAAAATCGTTATTTATTTACGAAACACAATTTACGACCCTCATTATTATTATTATTATTGTTGTTGTTGTTGTAGTACTTGTTGTTTGTTGTTGTTTGTCGATCGGTAAAAATAATTATTTACGAGTAAAAAAAAAGAAAAGAAAAATAAATAAATAAATAAAAAAAAACGTTAAATAATTATCGATTTTAAATTGAGTTATTTACGTAAAAGGAATGAATTATTTTCGATATATCGAAATACCGGAAGTGAATAAAAAAACGATTTTTTTTTCTTGCTCTCAAATAAGAAAATTATTTAAGTAAATCGAAGGCTTTTTAATAAATAAAAAAATTTTAAATTTAAATTTATTCCGAAAAAAAAAAATCCGGTTCAAAAAAAAAATTTAAATAATAATTCGAACGTTGATTTGTTTAAAAAAAAGAAAGAAAGAAATTTCTAAAACCCCGACAATTAATAATAATAATAATAATAATATATTTAGGTGTATCTGTTAGAACTAAAAAAAAAAAAAAAGAAATTTTATTTTAAATAATAAATAAACCGTAAAAAAAAAAAATATTCGTTTCGATGATTTTGTTTGTTGTCGTTTGTCGTTTGCTTTTATTACGAAATAAACAAACGGAACGAACGAACACGATTGTTATTAATGAATGAACGAATGAATAAAAAGAAAAGAAAAAAATATTTTATAATAAATATATATTATAATTAATTTATTATTATTACGGGTAAAACGGGGGTAAATAAATTTTTTTGAAATAAAAAAAAAAAAAAAAAATTATCATCTCCTGCCCCGTATTAAAATTTATTTTAAAATATTCTTTAAACGTTTATTATTATTATTATTATTATTTTATAGTTATTAAAAAATAATTTCATTCGACGGGATTTAAATGAAAAAAACTTCCCTCTCTGTTATCCTTTAATATTTTCATTATCGCGCTAACCCCGGAACTTCCGCTATCGACTGCAAAAAAAAAAAAAAAACATTATTGTTATTATTATTATCCCCGTAAAACATATTTTTTATTATTTGTTTATAATATTTAAAAATAAAAAAAAATTTGATTTATTCATTGATTTACGTTTGTTGCATATAAAAAGAGAAAACTTTAAACGGAAGTTAAATTAATGAACCGTAAAAAAAAAAAAAAAAAAAAAAAATTTCGCGCCTGACAAATTATTTATTTCTTCATCTCTCAACACAAATATATAAATCCCTTTTTTTCTACTGCCA